ATACCAAAATTCCCATAGTTGAGGGTCCTTAAGGTAATGCAGGGTTCATATCAACCCTAAACCCTAAACCCCTAACCCTAAGCCAGCCCTAAACATAGTTTAGGGTCCTTAAGGTAATGCAGGGTTTATATCATCAACCCTAAACGCCAAACCCTAAACCTTAAACCCTAAACCTTAAACCCTAAACCCTAAAACCTAAACCCTAAACCCTAAACCCTAAACCGGGTTTTATCATCAACAGTATCATGGAACAATTTCCCTTCGATGCCTCGTTGCGCCAGGCGTTCGCGCAGCTGCTTCTGAGCTCAGGATTTTACTTCAAGGCTCAAGCGACTTAGTAACTAAGGCTACTATTAGGATAACTATACTTCTAACTGCTTATAACCCCAGTTAAGGTACTTATAACCATACTTACCAAGTCCCATGATCCTCCAAGTACATGGTCATCCATCTGAGCTAAACCCCGGACCCTAGTCAGCTCAGGGTCTAGAACTTAGGGTTCAGGGTTTTAGGAACTTAGGGTTTAGGGTTTCAGGCTCTAGAACTTGGGGTTTAGGGTTTAGGGTCTAGAACGTGGGGTTTAGGGGTTCGGGGTCTAGAACTTAGGGTTTAGGGTCTAGAACTTGGGGTTTATGGTTCAGGGTTCGGAAACCTTAACCAGCATCTTGATGCGCGTTGATGGCGCTTGTGGTGGCTGCTCAGAGGCTTTTAGGGTTTGTTTAGGGTTTAGCCCTCAGCTCTCCAGGTTGCATTCGGAAACGGCCAGCCAGCAATGAAATGCTGGGAATACTGACTAAACCCTAAACTTTCCACCCTAAAACCCTAAAACCCTTAACCTCCTTAAACCCTATGAACCTTGAAACCCTGTATGGCCCTGGTCCGAATGAAGATCCGTAGTACAAGATGGGTGGGATTGTGGAAGATCGACGAATTGAGTTTGGCAACTGAGGGCCCCGGCCTGTGACGTTTCTGTGTAATTAGGGTGTACATTCGGGTGTAACGGTGATGATCCATACACCAAAACCCTAAAGCGCTGCTGTTGGCTTCTTTGCATCTAACAAGGCCTGCAACAAGACTATGATGAGCCCTAAACCCTAAACCCTAAACCCTAAACCCTAAACCCTAAGGGTTAGGGAAACTTAGGGCCTAGGCTGCACTGAACTCTGTTAATGTTGTAGCACATATCTGGAAGTGGGTCGAACTTCTCCGGCTCTGTATCTCCAGGCTGCTGTTGCTTGAGAATCTGGTCCGATTGATTCGCTGGAACGTTACAATCCTCATGTCCGTGAGGATTAGTATAAGGGATCCCATCACAATCGTCCATCGTTCTGGGGCTCGCTGTAAGAACTGTTCGAAACTTCACTTTTGTAGGGTTCGGCAGGTTTCACATTCGATGTGAATGTGGAAGGCCCCCTAAACCCTAAACCCCAAATGCGGCTGCGGCTCCTCCCCCTGCATGCAGGCGTAGACGTAAGGCAAGCCAAGGCGGCGAATGACGAACTGGCCCACGATTTTGTAAACCTCAGGGCTGGCCACGAATCCCTAAGACTCCAGGTACCTACTATATAGGGCCCTAGGGGCTCTGGTACCCTATATAGTAGGTACCCGGGGGGTTAGGGGAATATTCAAAAGGAGCCGGAGACTTGACAAGTGAGGTTGTAAGTAAGTAAGGTAGCTATGATATTATCGAGCTATCACCCCCAATTGAAGTACACGTAATGCCACTTACTAGGTCTGATCCTTTAAGTACAGGCTGAGCCTGATCGTGTCTAGACACGAAGCGAACAGATCTTGAGACCTTTACGCAAAACTATGAGCTAGCCTTGGAGTGAACCAGCCTCAGTGTAGGGTCCAAGGTTTGGTTTTGCTATTGCTGTGGGTTCTGAGGGTAGAAGAGAGCAGTCGAACGTGTTGCCACAGCATCCTCTTCATCGCGAGACTCCTTTGAGGTCCAGGGCTTCTTTTTGCAAAGACGTGCTCTGCTTTAACCTGAATATGTCAAAGGGGCGGGGTGCAACAGTTGCAAGTACACGCACGGCTTACAGCAGATACCCCTAACCCTGTCAGTGACTCACAACAATCCTAAACCTTGCAAATAAGAAAGCCAGAGCTAAGCCCTACATGCTGAAACACAGCAGGGCGCACCACAGAACCTTGAAACCCCCACACTCTAAACCCTAAACCCTCAATCTAAACCCCTAACCCATGGTCATGGCACAAGTTGGTAGGTCGGCTCTTCCACTTGAGCGATCTCGCCGATTAAGGGCCGACCCAGAAAGACGTGGAAAAATGCGGTCCTTGGACTGGCCAGCTCGAAGACAATTTTGGGTATGTCGACGGTTGAATCAGTACAGGGGATTTAAAGTTCTAGAATAGGGTTTTGGGGTGTAGTATAGTAGAATTATAACAAGGAACTACCAACACCTTATGGGGTAGTTATTTAAGACATAGTCCGGGTTTAAGGAGGCCTATGCCGAGCCGCTGTGCGGCTTTCCGTGGGTGCGCATTGAGGTGGAGCCCTCCCTAATGCAGCCAAGTATTGATACTGACCCTGCTACTTGGAGGCTGATGGGTAGTTGTACAAACCATGTGGACAGTATACAGCTTCTTCTTGCCAGTGCCCAAGACACATTCTCTACCCTGCCACCCCATCTCCGAGAGATGGAGAACAGACACAACACTACTCAGGTGGAATCTTGAACCGAAGCCACCTATAATGCCCCAACCTCAAACCCCGAAGACGAATAAGTTCCGGGAAGAACTGGCCTTGGCCCTAAACCCCAATCCTAGACCCTGAACCCCCACAGGCCCTTGGCCCCAAACTGCAACCATGTCTCAGGCAGTACCCGACAACGAGCTCGCCAGACACGGCCTTCGTCTTCCAGGCAGGATGGATGACATCAGCGTAAGTCCAGAAAAAAACTAGAAGGTATAGGGTGTGCGGTTTTGAGTTTAAGTTTTTGCTGAAGCCCTGAAGCCCCAAAAGCACCAAGTTTAGGGTTTAGGGTATACGGTTCAGGCTTTAGGATTCGATTTGGGGTTTAAGGCTTGGCGTTTAGGCTCAGGGTTGAAGCTATGGTGCAGAGCGTAAGGATTCGGTTTGGCGGACGGACTTGGGGTGTTTGGTTTAGGGTTTTAGGGTTTAGGGTTTAGGGTTTAGGGTTTAGGGTTTAGGGTTTAGGGTTTAGGGTTTAGGGTTTAGGGTTTAGGTTTAAGTTGAGATAATGAGTCATGAAGGACTAGCAGAATCCGAAAGCGGCAATTGCAGGTTCTGAGGGGTCCAGAGTCCAACCTAAACCCCATACTAAACCCAAACCCTAAGCCCTAGAACCCTAAAGCCCTAAACCCTAAACCCCTAAACCCCTAAACCCTAAACCCCTAAACCCCTAAACCCTAAACCCAAACCCTAAACCCCTAGAACCCTAAACCCTAAACCCCTAAACCCTA